TCCCTAGTTGAGTTTATTTTAGACATAGGGTCTCCAATCCCTAGTCGCCTTTTCCAACATAGGCTCTCCACTCCCTAGTGGAATTTATTTTAGACATAGGATCTCCACTCCCTAGTCGCCTTTTCCAATGTAGGGTCTCCACTCCCTAATTGAGTTTATTTTAGACATAGGGTATCCACTCCCTAGTCATTTTTCCAACATAGGGTCTCCACTCCCTAGTTGAGTTTATTTTTGACATAGGGTCTCCACTCCCTAGTCGCCTTTTCCAACATAGGCTTCCCACTCCCTAGTGGAATTTATTTTAGACATAGGATCTCCACTCCCTAGTCACTTTTCTAACATAGGGTCTCCACTCCCTTGTCGCTTTTCCAACATAAGGCCTCCACTCCCTAGTTGAGTTTATTTTAGACATAGGGTCTCCACTCCTTAGTCGCTTTTCTAACATAGGGTCTGCACTCCCTAGTTGAGTTTATTTTAGACATAGGGTCTCCATTCCCTAGTCGCTTTTCCAACACAGTGTTTTCACTCCCTAGTTGATTTTTAGTATAGATATAGGGTTCCACTCCCTACTCTCTTTTTCCCAAAGATACACAATCTTGATTTTATTGCTTTCAATAAAGAAATAGTTTAGATTTTTTTACAATAACTCACGAAATTTTCCTAGTGAAAACTGGGGCAGAAAAGTTTTATTCGTTTGTTTGCTTTGGTGCCCAAACAGGTTTTCACCGTGAGACGTAAGGTTTGAGATGACCAAAGGAAGAAGTGTCAACCCAAATGAAAGAAAAGAAGAAACAAGAAAAGAAGTTTGAACTCAAGATGCAGAAGTGGAGAAAAGATGCGGACTACTCAAAATTTGATTGAAATCACAAGCTTCACATGTCCCGCCTTGATCCAAAAAGCTGAAGAAAAGTGAACCAGCGGTTGCAGCTAACGAGCATCAAGATTTAGATCAGAGTCTGCACGAAGAACCATCCAAGAATCAAGATCAAGATTTAGAAGGTTATAGATATGAATCTTGTAACTCGTAGTTGATAGGCTTATCAAGTTTAGCTTTTTATCTTTCATTTTTGTGTAATAAGGAATTCAACAAGCAGAAACAGCAGCAACATCAGTGAAATCACAGTTTCCTGGTAGTCCCAGCTACCAAAACTTCCAGAACTACACTGACCTGGTTCCTTTATAGCCAAGGATATGTAGGTAACCTCTGAAGCAAGGTCCGGTCATGCTTTTTCGAAAGATACTTCTCATGGAGTTTCAAACGGGCAAAAATCCCTCATAATTGCTTATTTTATCTTTGCCCGAAAACCCTTCATGTCTCCGAGCAAAGAGGGGCAGCTGTGAGCATGTGATTTTTGCCCTATACGAAATACTCTTATAAAATCCTAAGAAAATAGGTTTTTCTGTTAATTATTTGCCATTTTAGGAATTTTTCTAGAATTTTCTAAATTATTTGCATTACTATGCATGTTTAATTTTTATTTAAATTATAAAAAACACCAAAAATATCATGTATTGTATTTAGGATTTGTTTTTATATTTTTTAAAATTAATCAGTAATTATTTATTTTATAGAAACTTCAAAATCACAAAATAGCTCATTTTTACATTTTTTGTTTTTAGGTTATTTATTTTCTTTTTTAATTTAGAATTAAGTGATTTTTATGATTTTTATAATTAGTTAACTAGTTAAATTCATATTTTAGATAATTTAGGATTTTTAATTATTAGGATTGTTTTTTAAAAAAAAGAGGAAAGAAAAGGAAAAATTAGAGATAAAATAAAGAATTGGAAAAAAGTTTCATTTTTGAACTTGGGCCATCTTTAACATCCAATTCGGCCCAAAATTCCCCCATATACAAAATTAATTCCCCATCCTAAATACTTTACCGCCCCAGTTTAAGAAAATGGACCTGACCCACCAGTTCGACCCACTCATTTCCCCTCCATATAACCTCTCTTACAACTTTTCCCTATATCCAAACACTAAACCTAAAATGCAGAAAACAGCGTTGTTCATCATCTTCCTTAGTGAGCCCAACCTCAACTCGCCTGAAACTCAAATGGTCCCCTCCCCTCCACGTCAGTTTATTCCAACGGATTTTTGTTAGAGAAAAAAAAGAATATTCCCTCCGAATTTGCATGATTTCTGTACTATTGAGCCTTTTGCTGGATGAATGGGAGCCGTGATGGATGAAAATTAATCCATGCCTTCCATTTATCCCTAAAATCGCTCTCAAACGAGGGGATTTTTCGAATTTTTGGGCAGAAGCTTCGAGATTTTTGTGGGTTATATAGAAAGTGAGTTTTCTTGTTTAAGGGGAAGGAAAAAATCAGAGGAAAATTTTCAGAAAAATTAGTAGGGTAAAATTCCTAGAGTTCTTCAAGTTTTCCCTTTCTTTAGGCCTTTTCTTTCAAAAATTTTAGTCTGCATCTATTCAGAAAACCAAAAAAATAAGAAACAAAATATTCTAAGTTTGTGTTCTTCATTCGAGTTTCATTTTCAAAAGAAATCAGAGAAAGCACAAAAAACGTTTTCAACATCTTTTTTTGTTGATTCTGGGTTCTCAAGAATGGTTTTGGATTGAGTTGGTTTCTGGTTCTCAAAGCTGTGGATTTGTCGTTGATTTCTGTTGATTTTGCTGCTGACACCGTACTGAGATCCATCAGTTCTATTCCAGCCTTTATTTGGCTTAGGCTTATTTCATTGTTGTCAAGGTATTTGCTCTTATCAGTTTTAGATTTGATATTTGAATTTTTATGAATAAACATATGTTGCTTTCACTTGCGAATTGATGGTTGGCCTTGATTTGTGCTCATGCTTTGTTAAATTTTAGTTTGCATAGAGTGTAAACACACTTGGATTTTAAGAGTCAAGAGATATGTGACTTTGGTTAGCATGTCTTTTCTCGATTAAATTTTTTTAAAATCTATAAACTATGAAGAGAATTGAATCGTTATTTGATACATTACTGTTTGGACACAAAGTAATGTTATAGAGCTAACTTTGAACTCCTTGCTTATTGTTATTCCGCCGAAGTTGTTTGTTTGAACTCGTTGTTTCGTTCTCCCGTTTGTTAAGAATATAGAGGCGCTGCTGTGATTCATTCGGGTTATACCCTGTGTTGCCTTGGTGTTTACTGGTAAATGGTGTATAAATCCACTTTGTTTTACCGTACAGAATTCATGTATGTTCTTGAATTGATTAAAATTTCTAAACGTTGAATGCTAAGGTTGAGTATATTCCGGATAAGCCAACAACTTTATAAAACATGAGTGTCACACAAATTTTAATGAAATACACTAACTTCCACAAGCAGCTTGTATTTAGTTGAGATCCACATTGACCATTTAAGAGCTATCATTGATGTTAGCAAGTAGTTAAGGAAAAAAATATTTAAGTCACGAATCATGATTCTTTTGATTGCATCTGAAGTAAAAACATCAGTGGTGAATAATGAAACAAAACTGGAAAGCAGAGAACAATTAGAGCAGTTAGTTTCACTGATTTTCTTTGAGCTTGAAATGTACCTGTGAGAGAATGCAAAGCAATGACTACATCAGAAGAAAATTGTTCTAGAGTTAACTTTCTTTCCTTTTTGATGTATTGACTATCTGTGTATGGTGAACGTGATATCGGGAAATGTGTGTCTTCTATCACTATTACTCCTTGTTAAGTCATATGTAATTGACATGTTATGATATCGGTAGATTTACTTATGTTTAAATGTAGTTTAAATATTTTCTTTTGTGCTGTTTTGTTGCTTATACGGCCCAGCCATTCAAGAGAACAGGGTGATTATTTTTTTTGGCTTGCATATCACTGTTGAAATGCATCTATCTTAGTGTTTGACAAAAGAATATGTCACACATAGGATTAACAAGATGACTGAAGTTGGTTAAAACTAAGTCAAATTGAATGTTAGTTTAAAGTCATTTACCTGCTACATGCTGATATTTTCATATAATAGCAATATCAAGTTAGTAGTAATTTTAATGGTTATGCGTTCAGGGTACAACGTTTTACTGGTTATGGCATTGTATTTTTTTCTATGATCTTTTACTTTAGGCCCTAAGTTCTAGCTGGATAGCTTGTTGAGTTATTAATTGTCATGGATGATATAAAGGGTTCCAATTGACCCCACATTGCCATAAAAATTGGTTTGGACGTTCAAATGTTTCAAGTCACGTTTTTGTTGATTGATTCTTCTGGTTGGTTTTGCTTAATAGAGCATGGATGGCTACTGTAAATGGAATGTGTAGTTTTAATTGGCAATTAAAAAGAGGCATCGAATCATTAATTTGGCCTGAACAAGCTAATCGGCCAGTTTGTCCCTTACTAGTTTATTTTCGCCAAGTATAATTTCAAATAGAAGGAAGTTTCTAAGCGTAGCTTGCTTTAGGCGCGTAATTAATTCATTACAACTACGGATATGGTTCCCATGACGTGGTTGTGATAATTAGTTATAAATTAGATTAAAAACAAGAGCACCTTTAGTTTGCCTTTAAACTATATAACCTTTAAAAAAAAAAAAATTGAGGTGTGCCATGCTTTAAACTTATAACACATGGCCCTCACAAATTTAGATCAAGAACTAATTCTTCTTAAAATAATTTGGGGCATGCCATACACAAATAAAATCCTATAATTTATGGCCCTCATATAAATATAAAATTAGTATAGAATTTTCCTTGAATTTTCGTAGTTTGCTTTAAGCGCGTTAATTAAATATTCATCATAGCTGCGGGTACGATTCCGTGACGTAACTGTGGTATCTAATTCCCAAATTTGGGGGTACATTTATGTCACCCGGCTACAACTTCTAATAATTTTTAATAAATTAAACATGTTGTAGATCGTGGGTACAGTTCCCATGACATTATCCGCAATATATTTCAAATAAACAAGTGTACGAAAATCGTAACTTGTTCCAGAATAATTCCATAAAATAATTAAAAGCGGTTATTAAGCTAAAAATGCACCATACGTTTAAAACATATAGTAAATCAGATAATTAGGCCAATGTTAATAGTTTAAGCGACCATGCTAGAACCACGAAACCCGGGAATGCCTAACACCTTCTCCCGGGTTAATAGAATTTCTTATCTAGAATTTCTAGTTTTGCAGACTTTTGAATAAAATCTAATTTTCCTCGATTTGAGATTTAAAATAAATCGGTGACTTGGACACCAATTAAACTATTACAAGAGGCGACTCTGATAAAATAAATAAAATAATCTCATTTCGAATAATGTCACTTAAATTAGAAAAACTCCCTTATATCCCCCTCGGGTGGTAAAAAAAGAGGTGTGACAGCTCTGGCGACTCTGATGGGGACAAAAACCCAGAACTTTAGTTCAAAGTTCAAGAATTCGAGCTTAGAATAACCGTTATAATTGACTTTTATTTATTATCTGATTTTTATTACATATTTGGGCCTAATGTGTTAAATGTCACTTTTTACCGCTTTTATATTATTTGAAATGTATATAAACTGTTACGAAACCCTTCTCTTCTCATCTTCGTGGACGTGCACGCTGGCGTGACTCCTCTTTTTGTTAGTGTCATACCTTGAATTAAAAAGAGGCTCGGACAAATTACAAAGCCGGATGGCTTTTTGGTTCTCGATACGTAGCCCCCTCATCTCGAGTTGTCCGCTCGGGTACATCAAGTCTATAACAATATACCCAGATTTTAAACCTAGAATAACTCAGCCTCATGCCGGATTCCTAGTATGAACGCTTTTTTGCATCATGTGCATTTGACTTTGGGGACTCAACATAGGGGTTGGGTCGGTCTAGGACAGGTGTACTCAAATTAAAAAGACCATCCTGATGCATCCTACATGCTACTTGCACATCTGTTTGTTTCGGCTTGTATATTGACCGACTTCTAGAATAACGAAAGAAAATAAAAAAAAATCAAAAACCAAGAGTGAAGTAGGTATTTAGAAAATTCTGAAACTCTGCCGAAATTCTGAAAAAAGAAAAGTCATTCCAAAATTTTCAAGTGCCATGTTTTCCTGTTCCGTCATAACTGACCGAACTACGCAGGTCTGATTTTCACCGGATGTGAGATACGTAGGCAAACCTCATCGGTTTTGGCCCCAATTTTTTTAAAACAAAATCCAAAAATATTTTCCTTTAATTCTTTCAATAAAAAAAAAAAAATTCAAAATAAGTGTTTCCTTTATTTTGAAGTATTTTTTCCAAAAAAGAAAATCAGAAAAAATGAATTAAAAAAAATTCTTTTCCTTGTTTAAAAGTCTTTCTTTCGTAAATGTCAAAAAAAAAATTGAAAATTGAAGTCCAATAATATTTTCGCTTTTCTTTTGAAGCTCTTTTGTAAATAAATAAAAAAACTCAGAAATCCAATAATTTTTCTTAATAGTCCCTCTTTCGAAAATTAAGAGGCAACATTCAAAATCCAAAAATATTTTCTTTCTTCTTTAAAAAAAGAGAAAACAATTGAAAATTCAAAAAAAAAAATCTTTTTACTTTTGAAATTCCCAAGTTCAAATCAAAAGAAAAGGAATTTTTAAAAGTCTTTCTTTCAAAAAATAAAAAAAATAAAATCAAAAATCTGAAAAAAAATAATTCCTTTCTTCTCTTAAAGCATTTCTTTCATTTAAAAAAAAATCAAATAAAAAAATGTTTTTCTTTTTCTTAATGTTTTCATGGTCTGAGTTTTAGAAAAAGTAAGCCAAAAAAAGAAAAAAGAAAGAGTTAGTTTATTTACTCTATTCTCAATCTTCCCGAACTACGCAAGATCTGTTTCATGCGACGTCATGATACGTAGGCAATCCCCATCGGATTCGATCATAGCTATAAAATAAAACTAAGTGAAAAATAATTTGAAAAAAAGAGAGAAAGAAAGAAAAAATTTATTGAGTGAAAAAGAAAGAAAAGAGCGAAATAAGAAAAAAAAGAGTGACAAAAATAAGAAAAGAGAGTGCCAAAAAATAAAAGAGTGATAGAAACGAAATGAAAAAAAATCAAGAGTGATTAAAGAGATGCAGAAATAATAGAAAAGAGGTACATACTAAAAGAGTTAGTTAAAGCCGGGATGAAACATGCAACCATTCAAACACATAGTAGAAGCGCTTAACTGTTAGGTGCATTGCATCCCAACGTGCGATTTCCTATATGTTAAATGTTTCAAAACTAACAAGGTTGTTGGGTGTGCAAACAAGCCAGGTTTTGATGGTTGCTTTTTTTGGTAGTCTAGCCTCCCGTCCTTCACAAGATCCAAAGGCACAGATGACCTCCGAAAATAATCTACCAATCATCGATCCTAAGGATAGCCAGACATCGGCTATTCTGCAGCTAGAATCAGCAGCCACTGAAGAGAATAAGATGTTGCGTCTCCGCATATTGGAAATGTGGGACGCCTGGTCTAATGGTAGGGAACCACTAAGTGCAACCCCTGGGTTCCCTGAGTTGTTCCCTAGGTCAGGTGAAATTACCAACGCCCCTGTGCCCAACCCACTCATCCCATCTGGGCCCCCCTCTAGTTCTGTCTAATGTTCCTAGCATGCCTTATGTAGTTCGCTCCCAGGTGCCAGTTTCCAGGGCACCTCCAATATCGTTCTCTGTAGCACTAGTCTGCACCATAGCACAACCAATTCTACCATGGCCGTATATTGAACCTCTAATATTCACCTTTCAGGATCCACAACTTCAATCAGAAATAACATATATGACCCCGTACTCTTTCACTCAACCTCCGCAATATGATCTCTAGGTGGAGCAAGAAAAGGTTGTTAAAAATCCCGAGCAATAGGAAATGACTCGGAAGATGAAGAGTATAGAACAAAGCCTGAAAAACATGCAAGGTCTGAGTGGCCAAAAGATCATCTCATACTGTGACCTCTGTATGTTTCCCCATGTCCACTTGTTAGCCAGCTTCAAGATGCCAAAATTTGTAAAGCACGACGGGCACGAAGACCCGATCGCTCATTTGAAACGATACTGTAACCAGCTAAGGGGTGCTGGTGGAAAGGAGGAGCTGCTAATGACCTATTTTGGGGAAAGCCTCACCGGAATCACTTTTGAGTGGTATACGGATCAAAAAATTACTCATTGGCATGTGTGGGACGATATAGCCCGAGATTTTTTCGCCAGTTCCAGTATAATGTGGATATCGCTCCCGACAGAAATACTTTATCCAATTTGAAAAAGAAAACCGCTGAAAGCTTCTGTGAATATGCTATCAAATGGCATGAGCAAGCTGCCAGGGTAAAGCCTCCAATGGACAAAACTGAATTGGTCACATCACAGGCTGCTCAGAATGGTTCGGAGGGTCTGATGAACAACAATAGAAGTGAAGAGGGAGCCATGATGGCTTCAAGCTCGAGGGGGGTTTGCAGGTCATTCAGCCAATCATATGTGCCTCCTATGGTCCCACCACACTATTATCCCCTTCAAGATGATGCTTATGTCGTGGCCCCGCCTCCCTATGCGGTGATGAGCGTGCAACCTTACACGCGGCCACAACATCATACACAAAACCGAGCTCCACCTCCCATAAATACCCATCCTTACCAAGCTCCATATAGTCCTCCACCAAATAATCCCCAATACAATCCTCGCCCAAGAGAGCCTTTCAGAAAGAATCAGTTCACCCCTATTGGTGAACCGTATTCAAGTTTGTTCCAAAAGCTAATCAGGCTAGATCTATTGCAGCCAGTGGCCCCGAACCAGTCGAACCCCGAGTCCCCCTCGCACCGAGCTGATGCTAGTTGTGAATACCACTCTGGAGCAATGGGACACTGTATAGAGGACTATTGGACCCTAAAAAGGGCAGTTGAAGATTTGATTGAAGCTGAAAGAATTGTTTTTCAAGATGAAGAATTTCTTGATGTGATGAAAATTTTGTTGTGTGCCCACAACATCGGGCCAATAGTCAGAATGATTTGAGAAGATGAGGAATTTGATCTGGCACTGAAGGCCATTGCAGCCATTGCCGAGACAGATGAAAAGCCAAAAAATTATCGCCAAACATGAAAGTTCCCCATCAGACGGGAGTCTCAGTAGCCAGTCTTGCTATCCTTTCTGCACCCGGATTATCTCAGGGTGTGATCCAGATATTTTACCTTATTGTCTTACTTTTCGATGTAAACCCTTCTATCTTCAAAAATTGAAAAAAAATCAAAAAATCTAATGAAATTAATATTTCATTGTCCAGGAATTTCTCTTTTCTTAATCTTGTCATTTTTTTCCTTATTCTCTTTTTAGTTCTGTTAAATGCAGATTTCAATAACATGACATGCTTGCGGACTTCCTGCCCAGATTCTGAAATCTGTCAGACCTTGGAATAATAAATCAAGAATTAGATTGTAATGAAAATAGGTCTAAGGAAATAAAAAAAAGAATTGGAACAACTAAAGGAAAATTGGCTTCAGTTTGGAAAGGTCCGTACATTGCAATAAGAGTACTGCCAAAAGAGTGTGTTGTACTTGGGACACATTTCAATAACATGACATGCTGGCGGACTTCATGCCCAGATTCTGAAAGCTATCAGACCTCGGAATAATGAATCAAGAATTAGATTGTAATGAAAATAGGTCTAAGGAAATAAAACAAAGAATCGGAACAACTAAAGGAAAATTGGCTTCAGTTTGGAATAGTCCGTACATTGCAACAAGAGTACTGCCAAAAGACTGCGTTGTACTTGGGACTTATCGAAGGAAATGTCCCACGTGGCTAACTGTCTTGGAAAAGGTTTGAAAAGCCAATGTACCCCAAATGCTCTGAATTTGAAGTTGGAAGAAAGAAGCCAGAAATAAAAGGCCTACGAAGGCAAAATAAAGTTGGAAAGGGTAAGTCCCTCGCGACTAGCCGTTGTAGCAAGTTTGAGGAGCAAAAAATTTCCTCGATGCTCCAATAAAAAAAGAAAAAAGAAAAGAAAAGGAATGTCAGAAAGGAAAGGCCTACGAAGGCAAAATAAAGTCGAAAAGATTGAGTTCCACCGACCAATTGTCATGGCAAATTCTGGAAAAGCCAGAGGTTCTTTAGGGCCAGAAGTAAAATTGGTCCTCAGGGAACAAATAGTTGCAGTTGAGATCTTCGTCAAAGAAGTTGGGCCGAGATTAAGTGATTGAAACAACCAAGGTCTCAAAACCAACCACCACTTCAAACTAACAATTGTTCTTTGTTTTAAAACAGGAAACAAGTGCTATCCAAAAGCGACCTTGCGAGAAGCAGGTGCAACAAAAAGAAACTGTGAAAGGGCTAGAAAAACTCTGCAACAATAATCAATCCAAAATGGAAGTCTCCTCCAAATTCTTTCCTGCATTTTTACTCATTTTCTTCAACTAAAAAAAAGGGAAAAAAAATCGAAACCATGGTAGCATAGGGTCTCCAATCGCTAGCTATGTCTTTTCCAACATAGGGTCCCACTCCCTAGTTGATCCCCGGCATAATCCGTGGACCTCCCCGGCATAACTCGAGTACCTTTTTATTTTCCGGCATAACCCAATGACTTTCCCAGCATAACCCGTAGACCTCCACGGCATAACCCGATGACTTTTTTCTTTTCCAGCATAACCCGATGAACTTTCCCGGCATAACTCGAGGACCTTTTTCTTTTCCGGAATAACCCGATGACTTTTCCGGCAAAACCAGTGGACCTCCCCGGCATAACCCGAGGACTTTTTTTCTTTTCCGGCATAACCCGATGACCTTCCCCGGCACAACCCGTGGACATCCTTGGCATAACCCGAGGACCTTTCCAGCATAACCCAGTCATTTTTCCAGCATAACCTGGTAATCTTCCCAATTTGGGGCCTCAAATCCCTAGTTGACTTTATTTTAAACATAGGGTCTCCACTCCCCAGTCGCCTTTCCAACATAGGGTTTCCACTCCCTAGTTGATTTTATTTTAGGCATAGGGTCTCCACTCCCTAGTCTACTTTTCCAACATAGGGTCTCCACTCCTTAGTTGATTTTATTTTAGGCATAGGGTCTCCACTCCCTAGTATGCTTTTCCAATATAGGGTCTCCACTCCCTAGTCGCCTTTCCAACATAGGGTCTCCACTCCCTAGTCGCCTTTCCAACATAGGGTCTCCACTCCCTAGTCGCTTTTATAACACAGGGTCTCCACTCCCTGGTTGATTTTATTTTAGGCATAGGTCTCCACTCCCTAATCTCTTTTCCCAAAGTTACACAATCTTGATTTTATTTCTTTCAATAAAGAAATATTTTATATTTTGTTACAAAAACTCTCAAAATTTCCTAGTAAAAACTGGGGCAGAAAATTTTTGTTCTTTTGTTTGCTTTGGTGCCCAAACAGGTTTTCACCGTGAGGCGCAAGGTTTGAGATGACCAAAAGAAGAAGTCTCAACCCAAATGAAAGAAAAGAAGAAACAAGAAAAGAAGTTGAACTCAAGATGCAGAAGTGGAGAAAAGATGTGGACTACTCAAAATTTGATTGAAGTCACAAGCTTCGCATGTCCCGCCTTGATCCAAAAAGCTAAAGAAAAGTGAACCAGCAATTGCAGCTAACGAGCATCAAGATTCAGATCAGAGTCTGCAGGAAGAACCACCCAAGACTCAAGAGCATAAGTAATGTAATGATGGCTAAGGGCTTTCTTTTTACCGGTTTGAAAGGAAGAGTGTGCCATGGTGAAATGCAAGACAAAACAGAAAGCAAGGAAGGTGAAACAGTGTTGGCAAAATCCAATACAGAATGTCCCGAGGGGTCATTGTTGAATGAATTGACTTCGGTTTGATTTCCTGAAAGATTTAGAAGGTTATAGATAAGAATCTTGTAACTCGTAGTTGATAGGCTTATCAAGTTTAGCTTTTCATCTTTCATTTTGGTGTAATAAGGAATTCAGCAAGCAGAAACAACAGCAACAACAGTGAAATCACAGTTTCCTAGTACTCCCAGCTACCAAAACTTCCAGAAATATACTGACCTAATTCTTTTTATAGCCAAGGATATGTAGGCAACCTTTGAAGCAATGTCCGGTCAGGCTTTTTCAAAAGATGCTTCTCATGGAGTTTCAAACGGGCAAAAATCCCTCATAATTACTCATTTTATCTTTGCCCAAAAACCCTTCGTGTCTCCGAGCAAAGAGGGGCAGCTGTGAGCATGTCATTTTTGCCCTATACGAAATACTCCTATAAAATCCCATGAAAATAGGTTTTTCTGTTAATTATTTGCCATTATAGGAATGTTTCAAGAATTTTCTTAATTATTTGCATTTCTGTGCATGTTTAATTTTTATTTAAGTCATAAAAAATACCAAAAATATCATGCATTGCATTTAGTATTTGTTTTTACATTTTTTAGAATTAATCATTAATTATTTGTTTTTATAGAAACTTGAAAATCACAAAATAGCTCATTTTTACATTTCTTGTTTTTAGGTTATTGATTTTTTTAATTTAGAATTAAGTGATGTTTATGATTTTTATAATTAGTTAACTAGTTTAATTTTATATTTTAGATAATTTAGGATTTTTAATTATTAGGATTTTGTTTTAAAAAAAAAGAGGAAAGAAAAGGAAAAAATAGAGATAAAAGAAAGAATTGGAAAAGAGTTTCATTTTTGAACTTGGGCCATCTTTAACACCCAATTCGGCCCAAAATTCCCCCATATACAAAATTAATTCCCCAGCCCAATTACTTTACCGCCCCAGTTCAAGAAAATGGACCTGACCCGCCAGTTCGACCCACCCATTTCCCCTCCATATAAAACCTCTCTTATAACATTTCCCTATATCCAAACCCTAAACCTAAAATGCCGAAAAACGGCGTTGTTCATCATCTTCCTTAGTGAGACCAACCTCAACTCGCCTGAAACTCAAGCGAGTTCACTAAAATGGTCCCTTCCCCTCCACGTCACTATATTCAAACGGATTTCTGTCAGAGAAAAGAAAGAATATTCCCTCAGAATTTGCACGATTTCTGTACTATTGAGCATTTTGCTGGATGAATGGGAGCCGTGGATGGATGGAAATCAATCCATGCCTTACATTTGTCCCTAAAATCGCTCACAAACGAGGCGATTTTTCGGATTTTTGGGCAGAAGCTTCGAGATTTTTGAGGGTTATATATAAGGTGAGTTTTCTTATTTAAGGGGACGGAAAAAATCAGAGGAAAATTTTCAGAAAAATTAGTAGGGTAAAATTCCTAGGGTTCTTGAAGTTTTCACTTTCTTCAGGTCTTTTCTTTCAAAATTTTTAGTCTGCATCTATTCAGAAAACGAAAATACAAGAAATACAATGTTCTGAGTTTATGTTCTTCATTCGAGTTTCATTTTCAAAAGAAATCAGAGAAAGCACAAAAAACGTTTTCAACATCTTTTTTTTGTTGATTCTGGGTTCTCAAGAATGGTTTTGGATTGAGTTGGTTTCTGATTCTCAAAGCTGTGGATTTGTCGTTGATTTCTGTTGATTTTTGTTGCTGTAACCGTACTGAGCTCTATCAGTTCTATTCCAGCCTTTATTTGGCTTAGGCTCATTTCATTGTTGTCAAGGTATTTGCTCTTATCATTTTTAGATTTGATATTTGAATTTTTATGAATAAACATATGTTGCTTTCACTTGCGAATTGATGGTTGGTCTTGATTTGTGCTCATGCTCTGTTAAATTGTAGTTTGCATAGAGTGTAAACACACTTGGATTTTAAAAGTCAAAAGATATGTGACTTTGGTTAGCATGCCTTTTCTCTATTAAATTATTTTAAAATCTATAAACTATGAAGAGAATTGAATCGTTATTTGATACATTACTGTTTGGACACAAAGTAGTGTTATAGAGCTAACTTTGAACTCCTTGCTTGTTGTTGTTCCGCTGAAGTTGTTTGTTTGAACTCATTGTTTTGTTCTCCCGTTTGTTAAGAATATAGAGGCGCTGTTGCGATTCATTCGGGTTATACCATGTATTGCCTTGGTGTTTACTGGTAAATGGTGTATAAATCCATTTTGTTTTACCATACATAATTCATGTCTGTTCTTGAAATGATTAAAATTTCTAAACATTGAATGCTAAGGTTGAGTATATTCTGGATAAGCCAACAGCTTTATAAAACATGAGTGTCACACAAATTTTAATGAAATACACTAACTTCCACAAGCAGCTTTTATTTAGTTGATATTTGTTGATATCCAATTTTTTCTTGTATATTTTTATATGCAAAATACTTTCAAAAATAGCAGGTATATGCATATATAAGTATGTCCCAAAGTTTACTATTTTTCTCTTAATTTTTATAGATTTTTAAATCTATTTATTGCCCTACTTTGTCAAGAAAAACCCAATAATTATCTCCAAATTTATCATTTTGGGTGATTCACATATTGTATCTTCATATTTATACTAAATTATAGCTAAGGTAATGTTCACACATTTTTTTACAAATTTATTTAGTATTTTAAAGCTAAATTTTATATAATTGCAATATAGCCTATTTTAGATTTAATTGCATTTATAATTACAAAATTAATTCCAGTATTTTTAATTTAATATTTATAAATTATTAATTAATTTAGTACCTTTAATTTATTTCTAGAAATCATTTTACTATTTTTTATAAAATAAAAAGGGAAAAGTGGCTATTTAAATACCAGCCCTACTTAGTTCAATTTTAGCCTAAATTCTACCCCAATTAAACCCAATTGAATCCCAGCCCAATTCCTAAAACTACCAGCCCCTGACCCAATTAAAATAACCCATCCGACCCCCCTTTAAATCCCAGTCATTAATCTAACAGATCAACGACTCACGTTCTCCCTTTCCTTTTTAAATTTACCAACCCCCCTAAACCTAAATCATTTTCCACCTACCAAGCTGCCTCGGAACCCTCCCCCCATTCTCTCAAACTCTCTCGAACCTTCTCAAACCTTAGCCACCTCCCACCACTTTCACCCTGAAAACCGCCGGAATCCATGGCTTCCAAGGCTATGGAAACCCTACACCAGCCTCCTATGGCTCCCACGCGCCTGATCTCTAAAGATTCAAGGCCTGGCCTCGAAGGTTTGCACCCAGACCTCTGCCGATTCAAGGTTCAAGAGTCATCGCCGGCCTTGCTCCATCGTACCATGGTGTTTTGAGCCTGGTTCTGACCTCTCCGACTCAGATCGGTGACCTTTTCAAAGCCTTTCTCATTTTTAGGGTTCTTTTGAAACCCTAACCCTTCGAGGTTTTCTCCGATCTCTTTAATTCGTTGTGTATCTGCGCTCTCTTTGAGTTTTCAAACGATCTCCCTAACTTTTCATTCGAAAATTACTTTTCAAAGTCTTTCTTTTACGATTTAGGGTTTTCTGAAAATGCTTAAGTGTTTCTCTCACTTTTTCTCCTTTGCCTTTTGTGTTTATTTGCCTCTACTATGTTCTTATGTTTTCTTCTACCTTGTATGTTCTTTTACTGAGTTTTTACACTCCGTTCTTTTATGATCATTTACTGAGTTTTATATATTCCAGGCTTGTATGTTCTTCTACCATGTTTTCCATACTATGCTCTCATATGCTTTTCTACTATGTTCTTATATTTTTGTCTTCTACTATGTTCTAGCATGTTTCTCCTACTGTATTTTCCTGCTAAGTTCTTAAGTTTCCTTATTTTCCTTCTATTTAAGCCCAGTTTATGTTTCTTCTGAAAACCCTCTTAAGCATGTTTCTTTTACTGTTCCTATCAGTGTTTTTCTTTTGAGTGCTTCTACTGTGTTCCGCATGTTACTTTGCTATCATGTTTTTCTCATGAGTTTCTGTTGATGAAAGAAGCATGCAAGAGGTTTTAACTCTAAAATCTCTGAGCCTGTTTCAACTACTTGCCTTCTCATCTCTGTACTTGATTCAATGTGGAAACCCTAGAATTTGGGGGTTTCGCCAAGCTGATTATGTGATTTGATTGAACTTAGGGTTTATTTCAAAACCCCTAACTCTTTCAGACCCATTCCTTGCTTTCATATGACTCTAACTTTTGCTAAACTTTTCTATACTGGATTTTCTACTGACTTTACAATGACACTATAGTCTTCCTTCATTCTTAACATGTTCGTATGCTCCTTATATATGATACACTTCCCTTTAAAGTAGCTTTTGAATTTGTGATTAGTTCCTACTTCCCTCTGAATATGGGTCTAATTGATTCCCTTTCAATTGTTTGCTGATTTCCCTAAGTTAAAACCCTTCTCATCTTTTCTGACTTGGTTCATTCACGCAAAATCTCAGACTCTTTTGATTTACTATTTATTAATTAATTTGCTTACCTTATTTGCACAAACCGTGTATTTCAAAAACCGTGTCCTTAAATAACTTCAATGTATTCACCCCTAATTACCTACTTTGCACAAAGTGTTTGATTAATTTCTTTCCTTAATTGGTTTATACCCGTTTGAATCTAAATCCCTTAACTAAAGGGAGTCTCGTATAATTGATTGACAATCAGCTCTTCAATTATTTCTACTTGGTTTTTACACTATAAAGGGCACGACCCTTTTCACAAACACACAAGGTAGAGGACATAATTCACAATCTCTTCTGAACTTTTAATCACATAATAGAATTCTCTCTTCTTGTCTGCACTGAGGTTTTTACCAGACTACTACATTTTTCTCTACTTGTTTCTTTGAAACTGGTATGTCCTAATTTCAAATTTCTGCATCCCCACAATGTGTTAACTTACAGCTTTCTACATCTATGTCTACTTTATTACTTCTGCAGAGTTAAATAGTTAAACTAGCATGTTGATTCCCTTTTGCTTGTTTCTGCTATGAATCTCTATTCCCTATTTCCCTTTATGTGCTTTGAGTTACAGTTTAAAACATGGCAATATACAAGTTATTTTCTATGGATTGAACTTGAT